ACGTACGTACGTACGTACGTACGTAACAGAGAGTACTACTACTATATATATATATATATATATATATATATATATATATATATATATATATACATACATACATACATACATACATACATATATATATATATATATATATATGTATATATACAAGCCTGATAACAGAGATACTCGTTCTCAGATGTCTTCACTGGAACTGCAAACAAGAAACCAACGGGGGCAATAGAGCACACGGCAACCCAACAATGCCAGCTACATATGTAGCGAGTTTGATAGTAGATTCGGGTTATAGCTTGACTGATCCGCCTGTGCTACTTGAAGAACATATCAATGTATGTGCCAAATCGACAATTAAATAGCAAGGCCCGGGGAACAGTGGTGAAATTGGATCCATATGGTGGACGATAGTGGACAACCCAACTCTTCATACGGTATCTACATCATTGAGGGCAGAGTGTCAGCTGTACCGTAGTTCAATATTTGCTTCACGGAGAAAGCCCTCTGAGCAAAGCTTGAGCTTGAGAGTTCCAAACACCACTGTAAATATGTCACCTTAGACTCCCTTCACACGCGCACCTCAAAGTTGTACCGGATCGCCGCGGCCTTCGACCGGATTTCACGATGGTTCTCCAATTTTTAGGATACTGCTACGTTTTATTTATAAATGATCCTATTTTCCGCTGTCGCAAAACCAATCTCCATCGCTCGAATCAGGAATGGGAAGTTCATAGATAAATGTGAAACCGAATAAGGTCACCGTAACTGATGACGACGTTACATGGGACTTCTCTATCGCCCGTCCATAGAGAGAGATGTGTCTGTCAGCGGGTTTCCGATAAACAGCACAGGAATGATTGATAATTACATAAATAAATAAATGTAGATGCGACTGAGGACACTCCAGCGGATGACAGTGTGCTCTTGGGACTTCCCTACAGTACGCCCAGAAGGATGTGTGTCTACCACTGGAGATCTTAAATAAATAAATAGATATATTAAGAAAATACAAGTAAATGAAGATGCGACTAAGGATGACAGTGTGCTAATGGGACTTCCCTACAGTACGTCGAGAAGGAAGTGTGTTTATACCTTTTGGAGAGCCGATCACTGAAGAAAGAAAGAAAGCGAGAGAGAAAGAGTGAAAAAAAAAGAGAAAGAAACTGGGATGCGATGAAGGACATCCCAGCGGATGACGGTGTGGTATTGGGACTTCCCTACCGTAAGTCCAGAACGAGACCTGTCTGCCAACGGGTTTCCACTCTATGCAGGGCGCTGGTGTTCTGGGATTACGTTTTCTGTTGTTTTGGGATTACGTTTTCTTCGCCTCTGTCGCCTAAATGTTCACACCCGCACACATCACCCGCTTCTTATCACTGACTGATTCCACAGCGGACGTTAATGAATGACGAATTATCTCGTTCAAAATCAATTCAAATGCGCTAAGATATCATGCTTATGTACACCCGTCTCCCCATGCATCCAAAATCAATTCAAATCCGTTAAGTTATCCTGCCTATGTACATCTGTCTTCCCAGGTATCCGCTACTTTCGCGTTCAAATTCGATTAAAATCAGTCCAGACATTGTGCCTGTGTACCCATCCAGGCGATCCATATACCCACTACCTTTATTTGCTTTCTGGCGTGTCCCAGCTATTCTTCTATCTATCATCCATCCATTGCGTATGTACGTTCTTACGATTTCCTTTGCCTCTTGCGCCTACTGTTGTTCGCAGCCGCACCCTTCACCCGCCTCTTATCGCTAATCGCCGCTACAGCAGACGATAGTGAGTCTTCTTTCTCATTGTTTGACATAAGGATTCCACCAGAGTTCGCTGTGGGGGTAGCAATAGATAATACATAGTCAGCTACGAGTACACCTCAGGATGAACAAGGGCGATAACAGGAAACAGTATACATATACATACATATGCATATACATATACTAGACATATGCGTTGATTTTACTAAACCAGATACAAGCACATCTGAGGATGACAACGTCAGTCACCAGGAGACGGTGTTCATGAGCGGCCAGACCTGTCTAATGTCGCACATATGAAATAGTCATTGAGATCACTACACAAGCACTATTTACCACGACGCCTACACAGGCACCACGAGCGTGCTACCTATACGGCAACAGATGCATACGTATTTATATATATATATATATATATGCGTTCGAATGATCAATTTACCGTCAGCCTTGAGTAGAGTTAGCTGGTCAACGATATCCCCGGACTTCTCTCCCCCCGTAAGGTACTTGGTGTTCATACTCTGAGGAAGAATAGGCACTTGTAGTAGCGCACTCAGTTCAGCCTTCATGCTGTCTAGTTCCGCCCGTTCTCGTCTGATCTTTCGTGATTGTGTATCGTCCGTAGTGGACACCCTATATGCGTAAATGGGACATGTATACATAATTGAATGATTAAGCATGTCATGTGTATCATACATAAGTGATGATTAAGCATATTGTGTATATCATACATAAGTGATGATTATGCATGTCGTGCATATCATAATGCGAATATAAGTACCAATAAACCGCATCACTTGCATGGAACATGTCTGCGTGATAAACTAAAAAAAATCATAAACCTACTGTGGCGGATAGTCCCCTTATCTATTTTAAAAGGCTTTCATATGTACGTCATATGGAATGAAAGAAATAACTGCGGCAGGTATGGCATTCAAACTTGCCACTCCTATTATATATGCATGGATCAGTGACTCTAGCTACACGTAAGCGCCAGACATACCTGTTAAATTGGTATAGTATGGTATAGTATAGTACGGCACATCAGATCACAGCACACATACAAACAAATATATATATATATATCGATAGAAACATATATATATATGTGTGTATTGTGTTTATGTATGAATGTATATACGTGTACAGATACATATGCATCACTACATACTCCCACACGCGCTATATACATACATACATATATATATATATATATACATATACATATACAGAAATTTATACATACATACATACATACATACATACTTACACACACACACACACACATATATATATATATATTTCAAACCCATGCTTAAACCGCACACATACAGTGAATCGTCCAGAATAATGTCCATCTCGCGCGCCGCCTTCTCGAAGAAGTCGTCGTCACCCTTCTTCTTATTGAGTCTATGCTGAATCTTATCCACCCTCCTGGCCAGAGACACTCGGGCCTTAATCGCTGGCATGTACATGCTATCCACAGGGAACTCGGAGAACCCCCCCTTCTTATCATCGATACTCTTGCACAGTTTCTTGTACTTGGCGATCTCATTGGGCGACAAGAGTACCACCGACACCCCCCCGGCGTCTGCACGGGCCGTTCGGCCACTGCGATGTACATACAGCTCCACGGTACGGGGTAGTTGGTAGTGTATGACGTGTTGCACCCCCTTTATATCCAGCCCTCGCGCGGCTACATCTGTGGCCACCAGGACACTACGGTCTAGCGTACGGAAGCGCTCGAGGTTCTTGAGGCGTTGTCGCTGCTGCATGTTGGCGTGCAGGCCGAGTGGCTTGCACCCCAACTGCGAGAGGATGGGTGTCACATGTCGGATGCAGTCGATGCTGTTGACAAACACCAGCGTCCGCCCCGGGAACCGTTGCAGGAAGTAGAACAGGTACACGTCCTTCTCATCCTCCAGACAGGTGATGCAGCCCTCGCTCAACGCACTGGCCAGGCCCAGACCTCTGCTCAAGTCCACGACACTCGTGTGTGCTTCTCGCAACCCCAGACGCTCCTGGAGTTTGACCATGACAGTGTGCTCCTTGTCGTCCTTCTTCTTCTTGTTGGTAGGTACCACCATCCCCGCGGCGCGCATAAACTTGGATGTGTCCACCGTCAAGGTCGCCGAAAAAACCAAGTTTTGCCGCACGTAGGGGCACTTAGTTACACTCTGGTTCTCCCAGTTAGACGGGTCGAGAGGGTCAAAGTCCGCCTCTGTCGTATCTATATCCTCCACTTCCCCATCCCATTCCTCCTGCACCTCGAATTCGCCCTCGTTCAGCGGTTCCGTATAGTCTGCATCACTCTCCCCACCACCACCTTCGCCCCCGGTTTCCCGGACAGCGCCATCCGACCCGTCTACAACCTCTACATCAACACCTTCCATTTCATCGTCCCCTTCTCCGTCCTTCTCCTCGTCCTGTACACCCATATCATCACCCGTCTGGGAGGCTTCGACGCCACTGTATTCGCTGCTCTCCTCATACTGCGGCAGGCGCCCGAGGATATGGAACAGCTCCGCGTAGTGGTTCTTCTCCACTAACCTATCGGCCTCGTCCACTACCATAAACTTCAGATACTCGAGCGCGTTTAGGTGGGCGTTGCTCGTGCGCATGAGTTCCCAGAACCGCCCCGGTGTGGCTACCACAACCTCGGGTTTGTAGCCCAGTTGACGTTCCTGCTTCTCGGGTGCGATGCCTCCGACTATGGCTACGACCTGATGGGATCGGGGTGATGGGGATATACACAAGGGAGGGTATGAGTTGGGCAGTGTGTGCGAAGACGCTTGGTAAACTGGGATAGTAACAGTGCCCAAGAGATAAGAGAAGAAGGTCGATGGCGTATAGTACCATGAGTGCGACAGATAGGCCAATCTCAGATACCCGTCTTGATATTGTATGAGGAAGAAAAAGATCGGCAGGTAGTTTAGCTGCATGTACTACCAAGAACTACTACAAGAGACTCATTTCAAACTACTACAAAACAGACTCATTTCAAACTACTACAAAACAGACTCATTTCAAACTACTACAGAACAGACTCATTTTAAACTACTACAAAACAGACTCATTTCAAACTAATACAAAACAGATTCATTTCAAACTACTAAAAAAGCGACTTGCACTGCTTTGACATCGCGTCGGTCAGTGGCACTGCCGCCGCCGGAGGGGCTGACATAGCCGCAGGTAATCAAGTCATTCGTTTGGATGCAAAAGCATGCACGATAAACCGGTAATTAATTGGATAGGTGTCACACAGTGCGTTGAAGTGGGTGTGAATGTAACGCGTGCGTTGAAAAAAGCGCTGTGGTGTGCCGGTGAGCGAGCTTGGCCGATAGTTGTAGTTGGAGATATCTGAAAGCTGAGCCGTACTTGTGCGCATCTTTACCAATGCAAGTGTTTGCAGCACGTGGCCAGTGTGGACTAAACATCCGTTGGCCCTACGAGTGAGTGGAGACCCTGGGGCCAAACAGGTGGGACGGGACTAATAGCGAATCTGTAGTATCGTGAACTCGGGTATATAAAGCAACCCACACTCAAGTGTTAAGCCCGGCGCCACGGTATAGACCGGGAGACATACTCGCACAAACACCGGTACACATCCAAAACCAAAACCCTCGCCCTCACCTTGACCTTGGTGCCTTTCGTGAGAGAGCTGAGATGGTCCTTCACCTGCATGGCCAGTTCTCGTGTGGGACAGATAACTAGGCCTAAAAGGGGCCTTTTTGTCCTGATGTCTTGTATAACGTTTTCGGATGGGAGATGGAGAGTACCTTCACAACTGGTATTAGCAGACCCAAGTACTACATTGAAGATCCAGTTTAACATGGGAATACCGAAGGCTAGAGTTTTGCCTGATCCCGTTTCGGCAGCACCCATGACATCATTACCCTTGACGATGGCTGCGTCTAAACATTCGACCTGTAATGTGACGGGATGTGTATATAGATCAGTATACACATACATGTATATAAAATATAATTATATATATAAGCTTCCAAGAATACAGTCGCGCACGTACACACACACACACATATATATATATATTCATATATATATATATATATACATATACATATACATATATATTCATATACAGGGATATACAAAAGATGCAGGTGCCACTGACTGACGTTCATGCTCGATAAACATTCTCAGAACAAATGAACACACACTCCCATGTATATGTATACACGCATCTACATACTCACCTGGATAGGAGTC